CAAATTTTAACTGAGGTTGCACATATGTGCTTTACAGGATTTTTTGCCGACACAATATATTTATTTTTTTTCCAGATACATAATGTTGTTTTGCAAATTAATTAACACAAAGCTTTAGCCTCTTATAGCCGCCGGAGAGAAACTTGACGTGTGAATCAAACATAAACCAGAGATGATTCACAATTTAAGTATTTACAATGTAACTAACCCCAAATCAGCTTTTTATTTTTTGCTGATAATCTCTATATAGGTTGTTTAGGGTTCTGTCTTTATGTTTCTGTGGTAATTGTGACATATACATTTGTTTAGTTCTGCATTATTTCATCTAAAACCCTCTCAGTGTACCACTAGCAGGGTTATGCTTTCACAGGGGTGTTAGTTACCCTTTAATACTGAAATCGGTTTTAAAAAATAGTCCATTGTGTAATTTGGGATATGTGTTTAGGAATAACAACTGGCATATACTCTGGTGTATGCCAGTTATTATGGTTTCATACATTTATTATAGCCAAAGATGATGTTGAAAAGAAACAAAACATGCTTTAGTTGTATTTAAAAAAGAACAAACTGAACAACATTAAACATCTAAATATAAAAAAAGAACTGTAAATGCCAATGCTTGAAACTACGATGAGAAATGCACGACTCTAGTCCAGGAGAGAACAACTAGTTAGCCCATGAGAAGAAAAAGAAGAACAACTTGATCCTGACCAAATCACAGGAAACAGTTGAATCACAGACATCAACATGATTAGTGCCCTGATGGTTGAGTGCAGAGGAAGGTAAATGAACAACAAACAAAAATAGGAAACCGGGTAAAAAACATGAATACAGAACTGAACACAATAGATAATGGCATAAGCAGAGGTGATTCAATATCAACACAACAACAACAAACAAAAATAGGAAACCAGGTACACAATATATATATATATATATATATATATATATATATATATATATATATATATATATATATATATATATATATATATATATATATTATATGGTGTTCTGCCAGCGAAGAGCTAATAAAACAGTTGATTCAGACGGGCTGGCTACAAACTGCTGACTTACTTAATCTATCCTTTCTTTGGTTTCTCAGATAAGCTTTTAGTAACTCCCAGCATGATTCTTCCAACAGTAGCTGTCTCTAGACCTGCACTTTTATCCAGCCACCCTCCCACTGGTTTGCCACAGCTTTCATTCAACATAAAAGCATTCTGAGTACTATGTTTAATACCCACCTTTGTTCAGATAACTTTGGGACCGGAGTGATCCTGTTTATACCAAATCGGAATGAAAGCTACCGCAATGCTCCCAAAAATTGTTGCCCATAGTAACATTTTCCCTCGGCTAATAATCTGCGATATTTGTTTCTTCCGTTTAGAGGGAGAAGATAGTACATAACTTTCAGCTTATTAAAATGTCAATGTTTTTTTTATAGCTAGAACCGAAGATCATGCTTTTCTTCACTCGTAGCTTTGATATTTATAATTTAATTTAAAACCCACCAATGACCTTTGAAAAATAGATCGCGGTGGCATTTTAAATGTTTAGATCTGCCATGAATTGAGATGTTGATTTTTTCCAATGTTTTGTTTTCTATTTTCTTCTGTTTTACATTCTACAGCCTCTTTGGGAAGAAGAATAAAATTAATTTAACTTTCAGTTTCAGAAAATATCTTAAATATGTGTTAGAAATTGTGTTAATTCATCAATTTCAAATCTTCCTCTCTCCTTATCTTCAATTGTACTTTTATTTCTATCCAATATTATTTTCTCTGTGTGTGACTGAATCAGTTGTCAGTGTACAGGTGGTACACCAGCTGTCAGCCACTCTATCAGTATAAGCCCAGTCCCTGCTACTTTACTATGCATGTTTAACAGCTTAAACAGTTAAACATGGTACAGCATCACTAAAAGTTATACTCAGCCTAAACCAAGTTAACCCCTCATCTGAAAAAAAAATAAAAAATTGTAATTGACAAGAGGTACGTTAATTTTGGCTTCTGCATCCTATTTATACTGATAGTTCATTGAACTTTCACCAAAAGATGGATATTACTTTCTGATGACAAAATAAGAACATTTCCAAAGTGGGTTATTTTCCAGTATGTAATCTTGAAAGTTATCAGGAGGCATCGCATTATGTATTATGTCATTGTAATGTTTAAGCATACATAATACAAAAGACAAGAATTAACAGGTTTACCTTGAAATTCCTCCATCACCTCAATTTCAACCACTGTCATTGGGATTCTGAATATGTAAAAATAATCCAGGCTGAGCAATGGCTATCTAATAATTCCATGCATATTTGTTGTAAAGTGAAAGTAACATTGCAGTTGAGGATTATAATCCCTTATGTTTACTGTACTATGGCACCAGTTGGCTGTGAATGGACATTAATAGCACAGCTAAGGTATGTTTTACCCATGAATGAATATTAATGAGACTTGGCTACGTTATACTGGAAGATTAAAGTCCTCCTCCTCTCATGTATCTGGGGAACTTAAGCATATTACATGTCTTTATCAACCTGACAGCAGGAACAGCCTCTTTCTCAGGTTTCTATGTTGAGTTATGACCTCATCATCTCGTTTGTACAAAAGGGAAAAATTAAATTAGTTAGAGTAATGAACCCAGGTGCTTTTCATGCGAATTTTTTCCACTCATTGTTCCCCAAGTTGTTTAAGGGAGTAATCTGCCGAACATACTGTCGAATCACTTAAATCCAGGCCATCAGAGCAAGCTGCCAGGGGTCTGGTCTTTTAAATGCGCCTCCTCATGGGGGTCCTAGATCAAAGATGAAAGTATGCTGAACGGTGTGGGAGATGGGTAAAGGGGAGGCATGAAGGGAGTAGGGAGTGCAATACATCAAATTAACAAATTTGCTTTCCCTTTCCCAGTAGGCAACGGAGTAAATTCTCTGGCACTTAAATTGGTATTGGAATGACAAGAAAGGAGAGCAGGAGGAGTCAAATGGCAGAAAGAGGTTCTCGGTAAGACAGTTATGCAAGATTGAATGAATGTGTAATTAACAACACTCTTACTCCTAATTAAAACCTCTTAACTTTCTCCTCACAAGGTTGCAGCAGCTGGTAAAGACAACGCTCTCACTGTGCGATGAGAGACATAAATTTAATGTCAGTATCGCAAGGCAACACCTGGTTATGCCTATGCCTGTCATTGTTGGCATCATAGCTCATTTTGTCAATGAATTACCATCCTCTTGGGCTAAGGCAGAAAGGAAAATGTGGATTCTTTCATCCCAGAACGATAATCCCTAGTGGCTCTAATGTGGTACTACATATCCATTTTGAAAATTAAATATACCGTTGTTTGGTTCAGCAAGGCAGACACCTGCCTCCTCTAGTAAAAATGTCATACTCCAGAGCTGAGAGATTTCCCTGAGGAACAACATCACAGTATTGCCTTGTAACTATAACTTAATATCATGTCAAAATCTCCCGGGGATGATGGTAAAGCCACAGAAAAAGGGGAAAACAAGAGTAAGTCGTATGCTTGGAGAAACAGATGGAGGCCATGAGCAGGGGGAAGAAATGGAGAGAGGCAACAGAAGGGAGTGCTGAGGAAGGAAAGGGAAACTCGACACACAAAGTGAAACGAAACACGTTCCACCCCCAGATAATAAAAGCAACATGGGAACAATAAAGGCCTATCAGGCCATTTGAAAAGACAATGTGAAACAACATGGGAATGCCTTTTAGTATTAAATTTTCATGTCAGCTCAATAAATGATTCTGTTGTCTTTTATAAAAGTGTTTTTAACCCGGGCAAGGAGAGTCCTGTGGGACATGCATATGGTGGATGTTTTGCTGCTGTGATAGCTCAAAGACACTCCTCCACTGACATGTATTGTCTTGACATCCTCTCGCAATTGGAATAAACAGACGAGGTCCATTAGTTTTCCTAGTTCTTCCTAATTTTATTACTATTTCTTGAGTAGGTTTGATTTTGCTTCATTGCATTTGGCTTTATCAACTTCTCCACTAAATGACTTAAATCTCTTCCCCACAGAGATGATTACATATAATCAGTAATTGCATGTCGTCGACGTGTTGATGTTGTTGATGTGACTGGTCAATAATTAGATCTGTTGTTCGCTGTAATAGTAGACCTTCACCCACAGTGATATTCTCCTGCACAGAAAAGTTTGAGTGAATATGATTGTGCTGTGCTTAGGATTGGAGCTGAGGGGTTGGCAGCTGTAGGAGAAATTTGACAGTTGATGAACACCTGACTCAGAGGCATCATCTGCTCTACTATTTAGATCTGCTCATAATTGGTGTCTTATTTACTCATTTAGCCCAAACCGACTTACCGCTCGAGAAGAAAGGAACCGATCACGCAGAACACTGAACTGCTTCGACCACGTTACAGATGAATTTGTAGAAAATTGATTCAAGCATTAAAAGCACTTGTCATCTTAGAGTTGCCTGATAGGATGATGAATTGCCACTGTGGAAACTTCGATCACCTAAGCTGTCTCAGTAAGACACACTTGATCACTGTCAGAGAAGCTCAAGATGGTCAGAGATTGCTGTATGGGCATGGGATTCACTCTTTTCAATCCCTCTTTGCCTTTCTTTCCAGACTCATTTGTGTCAATCTGCCTGTGTTGCAGACCGAAGATGAAAAACCTCTAAAAATAAAGCAGAAACAACTATTCAAAGAAATGTATTGGGGGAACAGTATTGGATTAAAGTGGACATGCCAGATCTAAAACGGGAAGTCTGCTCTTGATTCTGCTTAACCCTCGGCTTCATTGCAAAGCTATTCCACAGGGTGGAAAAGCTTTGCAATGAAAGCTATTCATTTCAAAGCTTTCATTGTTTACTTTCCTTTAAATTAATTGTTGACAAAACAGTACATTATCACCACCCACAGGCTGGGGTGAAAAAGGTGTGAAAAATAGTGGACATTTTGGCAGATGTAGAGGCCCTTGGGCATTTTTGTTAGTTTGGTGTCTGTGTGAGAAACTAACAGGAACCTTGCCATTGCAGATATAGTCATTCCTATAGTACTGTATATGTTTTGTCAGCTGTGCATAGGTGTGAATTTGTTCAACCCACAAACCGTAGAAGCAGATCTGCAGTTTGAATTGGAAAACGGCATTCAGTATGCATTAATGACCTGTCAGGAAAAGCAATGTGCCCGAGAAGCCGCTATAGTGGTGCAAATGCCATTTTCAGTAGAAGAAGAACCGAGTAGTGATGTGTGGCTACGCTATTGGTGTACAGGTTGGCAAAAACCACTAATGGCAAAGGAATGAACCCACCTCAGAACAGAGTGTCAGTACAGAACTGGGGCATAAATTGGCAAGTGAGTAAAATAAAGCAATGAAAGGGTTAAGGTTAGAAAGCAATGAAATACAGTTCACATATTGTTTCTGCTGACGCCACAGCAATATCCATTGGAAGTGGTGATAAATAAATGAATTAATGTAATTACCATTGTATTCAGTTATAATCACAGGTGTCTTAAGCATGAATAAGTAGTCATTCAGCCTCATTAAGCTGTTTGATATAATTATTTGTGGCACACTGAACATGGACAAGAGAATGAACAGAGGAGAGGTGAGATAAGCAAGACAAAGATAGCCAAACATGACTGTTACTATTTCCGTGAATATTAATGTTCGAGTTATTTTGTGGAGCCAGGGTTCCTGGATCTGACTCCAAATAAAAATCATTAGGATCAAACAATCTACCACATCAAAGTAAATCAACATTTTACATTATGAATTGTTTGTCATTTCTCCTTCCCGTTTCCTGAAAAATCAGTTTTTAGGTGGAATAGAAATAATTTTGACAACATTTTTATTAGTCATGTGTTTTGAGGATGCGTTCAACAAGCATCTTAAAAAACGTTATTTCAGCTGTCAGTACTGATTTGCTGTTGTTAGTGTTAAAATCTGGGTTTCTGAATTGTGTAGGTTGTTGGTTTGATACGTAAATTAAGTAAATTGTTATTGTGGTAACATCATATAATATTTTGATCTACATTGCAAAGTCACAAGAGGACCTCTCTGCTTTTCACATTTTTTGACAAAAAAAGGCTGCAGTAAAATGTGATTAAAGAAATTATGCTAATGAAAAGACATGTAGTTTTGGTTCTATGTCTATCAAGAACTTAACTTTTAAAAGCACTAAGCTTATATTGTACAGTGAAACATCCTTGTACAAAACTTCCACCTCAATGAAAATCATGTCTTTTTGCTGGGTTAGCAAAACAGAATGCATATCACCAAGTCACCAAGGACATAGGTTAATGGGCTGCTCTGGTTGAGCGGACTAAATATGGCTCAGAATCCAAAAGAGTACTGGGACGCACCCCCATTCTTTAGGTTGTATTGCATTAACCTAGCAATGTGTTCACTGGAAGTGATTTATTTGTGGATAAAACGAGGTCAACAGTCTGTAGACTAGATTTGTGGACTAATTTTTATGGATATAATTCATGCCGGAATTGAATATTTCTTTATGTTTTCACATAGTTTGCTAAGTCAGTAAGTAATTTTCCTGTCCAACAAATTTGTCTGTAGGATGAAGAGAAGCTCGTTTACTGTGCTGTTGCGTGTGGGAATATATCCAGTGGCAAATCGAAGGGGATCACAGGGAGGACCGTAAAAAATGCTTTCAATATATACAGCTTCCTGTTCAAGTCATAGCAAGGCATGCGGTGTCAGCTTTCTCAATGAAGACATGAAAGTAATACTCAAAAAATTAAATAAATACAAAAAATTATAACCATATATACTTAGCTGTGCTCTCCCTAAAAGTTTTACTGCTGTTGTCTATTTTCTTTTTTTATGAAGGCTATATTCGGACTAAGCAAGGTTTTTTGCTTGGTCACTGCTGGGATCAGAGAATTCACATGGGTGAGAGCTATAGTAAGGTGTTTAGTCTCTAATATATTTATTGCTAAATATTGCATGAATAAAGCAACTTTCTTTAACAATTTAATGTGTAAGAAATAGAAAAGACACAACAAAGAAAGAAAAACGACCATAAACAAACATACATGTGCATCTGTCTTGTGGCTGTTTTTATGTTTTAGGCCTGTTGGGATCATGAAAGCAATGCCATTATATATTTGTGAAACTTCAAATTTTCTTTACAATTGTTTGGCATTCAGTATATTATTGGCTTTTGAAAATGTAGGCCTTATGTCAGACATCCAGCAAGCTACATAAGAAGCTTGTGGAAAAGCTTCTTATGCTGGATGTTTTCTCCATTATTTCAGACAGAAGTGGTGTAACTCAGTCAAGTTTGTATACTACCTTGTGTGTGTCGACATTCATGAATCCATCACAAGACAGTACAAATTAACTTCCCCCTAATCCATTCCTCTCTCACCCTGAGGCCAATCCTACTTCAATTTACTATCTCCATCAAGATAAGAGACCAAAGTTTGCCAGATTCTTTTAAAACCCCCAAGTTTGTCTTTCAATATAAACCCTTATTACTTCCAAATAAAATGTGTCTTATCAGGTAAGTCTGCCGTCAAATATTTAGAAGAGAGTACCTCTCTCTCTCTCTCAAAAAAAAAAAAAAAAAAAAAAAAAAAAAAAAAAAAATAAAAATAAATATTTATATATATAAAAAAAAAAAAATAAAAAAAATATTTTTTTATTTTTTTTTTTTTTTTTTTTTTTTTTTTTTT